CTCATTTAATAGTTTCTCAAAATAGTTCTTCCATCTTTTCTTAATCTCTTCATCCCTCACCAATACCTTAGAATTTTCACTCTTGATGCACTTAACTTGATTAAAATCTCTTATTTTCTTCTCCCGTATCTTAACAAGTTTGTATAGCCTCTTCTCTCCCTCCTTACTAGCTAGTCTAGTATATAGGTCATCATAAGCTTTCAACTTAGCCTGTCTCACTACTTTCTTGACCTCCTTATTAGCCAATCTATAGCTCTTAAGGTTTTCCTCAGTTCTATCCTTTTGTCACTTTTTAAAGCACTCTTTTTTTGCTTTAACTACCGCTTGAACCTCTTCCCTCCACTACTAAGTTTCCCTAAAGCTGGGTTTCGTTCCTTTCGACTCTCCAAGCACTTCCCTTGAAATTCTTCTCATACAATTGGCCATCGAGTTCCACATAGTGTTATCATCATCTTTCAAGTCCCAAGTACCTTCCTTATCTATTTTATTCTTAAATATTTCTAATTTATCCCCTTTTAGGTCCCACCATCTCGTCTTACGACGCCCACCATCCTTCCTAGTTCGGTATTGTCCTCTAAAACATAAATCTAGTACCAAAATCCTATGTTGAGAGATCAAGCTCTCTTTAGGAATCACCTTACAATCATTGTATTTTAGGCAGTCCACTTTTCTCACTAAGAAGTAATCTATTTGGCTCTTAACTGATCCACTCTTAAAGGTTATCAAATGCTCCTCCCTCTTCTGATACATAGTATTGGCCACCCCCAGGTCAGAAGTCAACGCAAAATCTAAGATACTCTCTCCAGCCTCATTTTTGTCACCAAAACCGTATCCACTATGTACCCTTTTATAGCCTAGTTTATCTATGCCTACATGGCCATTAAAATCTCCACCTATAACTAGGTTCTTTCCTACGGGTATCTCCTGTAAGATCTCACTCATTTGCTTCCAAAATCCCTCTTAGTCTGATCATTTAATCCTACTTGAGTGGCGTATGCACTAATAATGTTCACTATATTCCCTCCAATAACTAGTTTAACTAACATAAACCTATCCCCTTTCCTAATGACCGCTACTACATTCTCTACAAGACCCTTAGTAATTAAGATTTCTACCCCATTCTTGTGTCTATCCTTACTACTATAATACAGTTTAAAACCGGTATCCTCAATTTTTCTAGTTTTCTCCCCTGTCCACTTAGTTTCTTGTACGAAAGCTATACTAACTCTCCTCCCTATGTAGCACGGACACGGACACGACACGGACACGTAAAAACACAAATTTTAAAAAAATAAGGGACACGACACGCTAGGGACATGTTTAATATATGTAATTTTTTTAATATATTATATGTAAAATTAAAAAATATAAACTGTTTTTATTTATTTATTTTATTTATTATATGTAAAATTAAAAAATATATACTAATTTTATTTATTTATTTTATTTATTATATGTAAAATTAAAAAATAAATATATTATTTGTATTTATTTGTATTATTTATTTACAAAAGTAAGGCATAAAAAAGAAAAAAGAATAAAGAGGGAGACACTCGGACACGGTTGCAAGGAAGAGGGAAGAGAAAGTGAGAAACAAAAAAAACAGGGAGAGACAGAGAGCGAGAGCGAGAGGCGACGGCCAGAACAGAGAGCAAGAGGCGACGGCGACGATCAGAGAGCGAGAGGCGAGACCAGAGAGAGATGGATAGAGAGAGAGGAGATGAAGACGATGAGAGCCGAACACAGAGAGAGAGGAGACGAATAGAGACGCGAAAGAAATACCTCGATCAGAGACGAAGAGGACTCGATCTAGCCTCCATCTAGGCTTCAACAGGTTATTCCTCTCTCTCTCTCTCTCTCTTTCTCTCTCTCTCTCTATCTTCAATGGGTTAGGGTTTCTCTCTCTCCTGGTTAGGGTTTCTTTCTGTTTACAACGTGTCCACGACGTGTCAAGCGTGTTCAAAAGAGTGTCCACCTGCAAAAATTCAAAAAAAAAAAAAAAGGGACACGTTAGGTCGAGTGTCGGACACGTTTCTATCGCGTGTCCGACTCGTGTCCGTGTCCGACACGTGTCCGACACCCATACACTGCCTCCAGAGACGTGTCCGTGCTTCATAGTCTCTTCCTAATCGTAACATCTATCAATTCCATCGTCTTACCAGTTAAGGTTCCTATATTCTAAGTGACTGCCCCAAACCTATAGTCTTGGACTGGCTTCTTTACCCGCGCTCGTCCAGAAAAACGCAGGAACCTTTGCCCATTTTTCACTGCACCCAGGCGTCGATGCAGCGCCCCTTGCTCACTTTTCGAAACACCCGGAGGCAGGCGCAATGCGTCACTTGAGGGAAACGATTTAGCATTTAAACGATTCAAAGTAGGATTCATTTTCATAAGGAATCTTAGCGGTTTTTTTACGTGTTGGCTGTCGGCTACCTAACACACAACTCTCCTCCTTAACCTGGGCTTGGGACTGGCGGAATTGCTAACAACCCTGGCAGAGTTGATATATATGTATATAAATCCCCAAATCTGTCTCTTTTCTTTTCATTTCTCTTCATCAGCAGCAGAAGATCTAGGGCGTTTTCGGCAACAACCTTGCACAACTGCATCTCTCTCTCTCTCTCTCTCTCTCTTCATCAATCATAATCACCATTAACGCAGCACTCAACTCAACTCAACTCAACTCAACTCTAGCTCTCAACTCTTCTTGCAACAAGGATTAAGACACCCACAGTCCAAATTCATTGTAGATAAGATAATCAATCTTCTTGAACAATACAAATCTTGAGAGTCTCGATCTGGGTCTTTGACCAAGTGGGTTTTACTAATTCCTGTTGCTCGTTGAATGAAGTAGATTTTGATATCTCTCTTGAATGAAAGACCACCCTCAAGAGAACCCATTTTAGAGACCCATCAAAATATGCACTCGCACAAGACACAATATAGAATAGAAATACAGAGATGGGAATTGAGAATGAGAGCAGAGAGATAGTGTGAGTGAGGACCCTTTTTTACTGTTTTGAGCAATGGGTTTTTCATCTTTATGGAAATTGAGAATGAGAGCACAGAAATAGTGTGAGTGAGGGCCTTTTTTACTGTTTTGAGCAATGAGTTTTTCATTTTTTTAATTTTATTTGTTGTTAGCATGTGAAGTGCTATGACTTATATCTAGGATGCTTTTTTTGTTTAGAAAAACATAACTGAAAATATTTAAGAATTTAAAAAAAATTGAAAATTTATTTTCTATATATTATTATTTTATATTTAAAAAAAAATTATTTATGACGTAATTATAACGCTACGGTTTGATCTGGTTCAACCCGACGAGTGAACCGGTGACCCGTCTGCTTGATCCCTTTTCCAGTTCACTCACTGGTCCGGTTTTTAAAACATTGGTTGTATCTTTGCACCCAATAATCAGTGTACTGTATTTTGATCGAAGGACTATTTATTTATTTATTCTCTCTAGATTTGATAAGTATTCAACAACTATTTTCTTATTCTATACCATAATCTGTCCAATTAAGGAAATTTAAATGGGGAGGGGCTTGCTTACTTTTAACAGCATGCAATAAATTTTTTTGTGTAGTTCAAAATCCCTTTCCATAGTTTCTTTTCAAATACCAAAATTAGAATTGTAAAATTGTTCTATTAACCTATTTGTTTGAAATTTTACAAATTTTATTACATATTTCTGATTATCTCTCTGGTATTTGAAAATCATGTTTTTTTTTTTTTGGTTGGGAAGGAGGTTTGGCAAAGATAAAGTATGGAATGAGGTGTATTGTCAGATTATATCAAGTACTATGGATGAAGCCAAAGGGCAACACAACACCAACATTGTGGCAGATTCGTAAATCATCATGCATCTACGACAATTTTTTCGTGTTTATGCCCATGATGTTTGTTTAAAAAGGGTCTTCGAAGATGATAGTTTGTATTCACTCAAAATTAATCTGATTATATATCCGATCTAGTTCAGTGATTCTCCTTTTAAACATTGGTAGTGGCTATGATGAGTAATCTAGAGTTATAATTTACGAGGGGAAACTCTTACATCCAGATTAAGACTCTAATGCCAATGGCCTATCTTATCATTATCACCATTGTTGTCATCATAATTTTTTTGCAAGTACCATTGTATCGATGTTATTGTCCTAATTGAGACTTAAAATACTCGTATTCCATCAATCATGGACTAATTGAATGAAATTTGGTTCTCAAAACAGCTGAGATACCTTTCAGTTCCACAATTAACCAGACAGTGCTAAATGTGACCACTTTTTACTCTTTTATCATGTCATGCTATGGTTAGCTTTTCGTTTGTTAGATGTCATATTTCTTTATCTCCATGTCTGCATGTATTTTTTTCGATTTTCATTTGGCCTTTTTTTCTACTAGTCTTATGATCATATAATGTTTCAATTGTACAGTAATTGCCTAGGTGTCTCAACTGTACAACTTGCTTCTACAATGTTAAAATAAATCTAATAAAATGGAGCCTTTCCAAATTACTTGGGCTTGGCTGTGTGAACCTTTTTCTGCTAAAATATTCTATGTAGACTGTCAACTCACAAGCCTTCCATACTGTTTTTTGGGGGTAATTGTCAGAGTGAATGGTAACTTCATTTTGATACCTGTTTTTATGTAACTTAGCTTTATTTCTAATTTGCATTGACCTCTGTGTTTCACAACCATAAAGATCATTGTAAATTAGAAAATGAAATTTAGATCTGTGTTGAATGTGTGTCCCGTATAAAGGATTATTACATATTCCTTTTCAAAAAAACTTATTCAAATCATTTTGATACTTAAACTGAAAAATTACAGACATGTAGCATGATTATTCACCACTAGTGTAGTGATGATGCATAAAAGTCAGCTGCGGCAACTTTTTGTGGTTTTAAGGGTGCTCGCTTTGCCCATTAAATGCATTAAGATATTAGTGTACTTGTTATTATTGCCATGTCCTATAACCTTTTTCTTCAATGTATGGTCAGGCTGTCAAAGATGACATTGGAACAATTCGCGTTCAACGACCTCACAAAGGGCCATTTTATGTTTCTCACAAAACCATGGACCAGCTCATTGCAAACCTTGGGAAATGGGCAAGGTTGTGTTAGCAATTTTTCACACGCACTTACATAAGTGCATATAGACATATTTGATATGATGCTTTCATCGTCATCGTCATCATCATCGTCTTCTTCTTCTTCTTCTATGTACTTAACAGTGATGTGTCCTGCAGGTGGTATAAATATGCCTCAGTAGGGTTTACTGTGTTTGGTGTGTATCTGCTGGCTAAGCATGCATTCCAGTATGTCATGGAAAGAAGGCGCCATTGGGAATTGCGAAAAAGGTATGTTTCACTGGTGTTTATCATTATCACTGAGTTTTATCATTGCTGTTTGGAAGGCAAATGATAGAAGTGTTGCATATTCAACGTTGTTTGTTAATGTTGTCACTCTGAACAAGCCACTTCTTGTTTGTCAATGTTGCATTAACAGAACCATCGATACATATTATCACAAGTAGATCCTCTTGGGTAGGCACAAATAGATACATATGCTGTTGTTGTAACAGTCTCCTGAATTTACACTAATCAATTAAATCTGGATGAAAGTAAGCTTCTGGAAACAAATGAGGTATGCCATTATTCAACAGGCTTCATGAAAGGAAAATGGCTGACTGTTAACTCTCGTGGGTTAAAGAATAGGTTTGATGCATCACAAACTCCCAAAGTCATGACAAGGTGCTCTCTCATTGGTAGAAGAATAGATTTGATGCATCACAAGTCATGACAAAATTGATGCTTATGGTGAATAAATGATTGCTAGTGTGGAATGATAGATCATGTCGTAATCATTGAAGAAAAATTATAAAATGGAGCCTGTTGGCAGTATGGTGAGCTGCAGAGTAACAAAGTTGAAGGCTTGACAGTAAGGGGGGTTGTATATATATCTAATCTGACTAGATTTAATAAATCTTCCTTAAACAGTAATTAGTATTGCAAATTTAGTATAAAGTATTTTAGTACCAAAACTACACTATTTCCACGTCTTAGTGACTCAAATTTAACGGACCTAGGTCTTCTTGGTTCCCCTTTTTTTTATTTTAAAAAGGAAAAAGTTGAATTTTGTATAAATGCAGATATCAAGTCATTGCTCTTGGACAATAGTACATTAAAAAAAGACACTGATTTTTTAGGCGTTAAAGCCTCGTCAGCTCTTTGTAATTCTAGATAAGCTAATATGTAAGCTACTTCCTAAGTTTAGTGAGGCAAATCTCTTATGGTGCTTTAAATAGTGGCCTTCCAGATAATTCAGATATTTCTAACTAACATTTGCACCAATCCTCTGATCTCAGAGGTTTTATCAGAGGTGGCAGCATGGGATAGGTTTGTCCAAAGTACGGAGCATGAGGTCTTGTGGAGGCATATACCTCTCTAGGATTGGTCAAGGTGTATGCCCCCTTGAGGAGAGGGGTGGTGGTGGTGGGGGCACATCGACGAACCGTCAACTCTAGCCTCTAAGCCACAAGTCCTTTGGTGGTCCTGGGCGGGATTATGGGTTGCTTGATCGCCCCATGACTAAGACACCAATCCAAGGGGGTTTTTGTAGGCCCTGCTTTCGACCAAGGCTGGCATGAGTCATGACAACATTTGGGTGCCCTTTGGTGGGAGTGTACATTGTAGGAGGTGTGTGATGGAGAGACATGTTGGGGGAGGGGCTGCTCGACTGACTGGGGAGTGCTGAGCGTGCCTTCTAGTGGAGAGAATGATGTACTCGGATGGATGTTTGCTTGGCCCAGCTCAGTGTTGCCTTGAGCATAGCTGCTTGAGTGGATTAGGAGACTGAGATATCTTGAATGGTTCCTTTGTCTGAGCTCAAAGGCTAAAGCTCTCTGTGCGCTATCATTTTCCAGTGTGGCTCAACGTCCAAGGGCATGTAGAGATGTATTATTGATCTACACGTCACCTCATGAGGCTGACACGTGGATCCAAGACTTTTGGAGATGTCAACATGGAAGGCTCATGGAGATGTCCTTGTGATAGCTCAACCTCCAATGTGCAGAGCCACATGCATGTATTTACAATAGTTTAAGTTCTCAGCCTAAGAAGCATGGACACGGACACGTGACACGACACGAATACGACACGGATACGCCGACACGTTAATTTTAAAAAAATGCAGGACACGACACGTGGAGGACACACATGAAATATATAATTTTATATATTTATTATATATTATATATATGAATATATCATTCAAAGATAATAAAAAATGCAATATAGCACTATTTCCTATAAATTTATATGGTTTTTGTTTTATTATTGTATCTTAAGTTGTTTTGTTCAAACTTATAATTAGTTTCACATATGTATAATCAATAGACACATGTGTTTAAACAATTGACACGTGTGTCCTCCAAGTGTCCAAAGAGCGTCCGGCTCTTTAAAAATATTTAAAAAATAGGACATGCTTTGAAGAGTATCGGACACGTGTCCTAAGAGTGTCCAAAGAGTGTCGGTGTCCGACACGGACACGACACGGATACGTCACCTTCTTAGAAGTGTCCGTGCTTCTTAGTTCTCAGCTATGTGGAAGTCAACTACGTGTAGAATAGCCTCTTTAGTATACATACATTATCAGTACAAGTTATAAATTTAAAGCAATTCAACCCAAACCTACCCATTTAATAAATGGGATTAAACAGGTTGGGTTGAATTGGATACGGGTTGAACAAATAAATCCATCTAACCTATTTACTTCATCTCTCTCTTTTTTTCCTAAAGATTTTTTTTTTAAAAATTAGTTTTTTTTTTAATAAAAAAAAAGTTTTTTATTTTTTCCTAAAAAATATATATATATTTTAAATTTTTTAAAAATAATAATTATTTTTTAATTAAAAAAATTATTATTTTTCTATTTTTTTTTATTTTTAATTTTTTTTTTAGAATTTGTGATAGAAGTGGTGCCAGATGATTTGACTCAAAATAAGTTAAAAATTGAAAGATGGCGTTTAACTATAGGGAAATTTGGTCAAAACCTCATCATAATAAAATTTTAATGTATCATATATTATTTGTATTTATTTATATTATTTATTTTCAAAAAAGGTATAAAAAAAAAGAATAAAAAGAATAAAGAGGGAGAGAGACAGTAAGGAAGAGGGAAGAGAGAGAGAGAGAGAGAGAGAGAGAGAGAGAGAGAGACAAACAAGAGATGAACACAGAGAGAGAGGAGACGAAAATGAATAGAGACGAACACAGAAAGAGAGGAGATGAACAGAGAGACGCGAAAGAAATGAAAAACATACCTCGATCAGAGACGAAGACGAGCAGACCTAGCCTCGATTAGAGACGAAGACGAACAAAGCTAGCTCGATCTAGCCTCGATCAGAGACGAAGACGAATAGAACTAGCCTAGAGAGAGAGACCAACAAATTCGAAGAAGACGAACATACCTTGATCTAGGGCTTTGATAGGTTCTTCACCCTCTCTCTCTCTCTCTCTCCCTCTCTCTCTCTTCGATGGGTTAGGGTTTCTCTCTCTCTCCAACGTGTCCATAATTGTCCAAAAGTGTCCTAAGCGTGTCCGGCTGCAAAAATTCAAAAAAAAAAAAGGGACATTTTAGGTCGAGTGTCGGACACGTGTCCACCACATGTCCGTGTCCGTGTCCGTGTCCGAGTGCAACACATGTCCGACACCCATACGCTGCCTCCTGAGAGGTGTCCGTGCTTAATAGAGGGTGCCCATTTAGACGGATTGACAATCAGTAACCCATTATAGCTTATTTGTTGATTTGGGCAGGTTAATATGAGTTTTAAATGGGTATAATTGGGTGGGTTCATGAGTTTGGATTTGGGTTTGGTTTTCCATCTACTGCGGTAGATCTTCTTTGTTCTGGTGCTTCTTGTCTTGCATTATTTGGGCTGAAGCTTTTCAAGGCGAATGTGTAACTCGAGGGGTTTTACTTCTCATGAGACGAGGCATAAGCCTTAAGGCACTGAGGCGTAAGTATTTCAAATTTTAAATTTCAAATTTTAAGTCTTGGGGCCCCCACTTTGTGCATTATGTCAAAGGTTAGGTGCACTTAATCTTTCCTCTCCCAAACACACATTAATATGTACTAATTGGGCGTTGTTTTTAGTTATCAAATCAAATATTTTAAATTATTAAATAATTAAATAAAATTTAAATATAAAAGTGTAAATACTTTTCTCCATAAGGCATTGAACATTTTAGTATAGAGAAGGAAACTTGCTTTCATTAGAAGTGAAATTAACGTTCTTAGCTTTACTAGTTGAGCTCTCACTTGAATATTAACTTTGTGTTTTTTCTCAATTGATCATTTACTCTTATAGAATATAGTTGCAACAGGGGTTCCTTTTTTTAAACCATCTACTAGACTAATTTTAACAAGATCCTAGGGCAACTTCTTCATATGCGTCCTCCTCGTATGCTTATGCACAAAAAACGTACAATGCTCACCTAAGGCGCATGCTTCAGACTGTGATGCGCAACCCTTTGGGGAGTATAATCTAAAAATCATTACCTTGATACGTTTCACCTTAGCCTCGAGGCGAGGCGAGCATCAAGGCAAATCTCAGTAAAGCCTTTTAAAACTTTGATTTGGGCTGTTTTTGTTACATGATAGAGCAGTAGACTAAATGATTACTTGTGGGCCTTGTGGCTAATAAGAAGTTCTTCCATCAGAGATTACTATTATATTGTTGTTATTATTATTATTATTATTGTTAGTTGACATCATGACTGGGTTTCAATTCCGGGTTATATCTCTATAGTTCTTCTGCTTTCTGGATAATAGTCTGGCTTTCTTTCATTTCATGATAATATATATAACTATAAACCTGCCTTTTGGAGTAACTTGCACTCCATTTTCTTCTTCTCTTTATCTGTCAGAGCTATCAGCCCCTAAAGAATTATTTTCCATGCAGGGTTCTTGCTGCAGCAGCTAAAAGACCAGGCCCCGATAATGAAGGTAACTTGTGGTGTACCTACTTCTATCTTTTTATTTTTTCCTTGATGGATAATTGTAATAGTGAAAAGTTGCTTTTTTGGCCCTTTTTTTCCCAGGTTCAGATGGTAGAGCTGAGAATGGATCAGATAGCACTAAAAAAGACCAATTAATGCCAGATCTGTGTGTAATATGCTTAGAGCAGGAGTACAATTCTGTTTTTGTCCCGTAAGCACTCCAACTTCCTTTTCTTATTTTTTTTAGCCAGAGAAAAAATTGAATGCACAAACTCTTATTTTTGTTAAGAGGAGTTTTTGCCTACTTCATTAAATAATTTTTATGCATGCGGTTAAATCATGCTTAAAAATTCTTCAGGATTGTATAGGAATTGTAATTCAACAATCTTGTAATCAATCAATAATACAATTCTCTATTTCTTTTTTTATACACCAATTTTAACATGTACCTACTTCTATCTTTTTATTTTTTCCTTGATGGATAATTGTAATAGTGAAAAGTTGCTTTTTTGGCCCTTTTTTTCCCAGGTTCAGATGGTAGAGCTGAGAATGGATCAGATAGCACTAAAAAAGACCAATTAATGCCAGATCTGTGTGTAATATGCTTAGAGCAGGAGTACAATTCTGTTTTTGTCCCGTAAGCACTCCAACTTCCTTTTCTTATTTTTTTTAGCCAGAGAAAAAATTGAATGCACAAACTCTTATTTTTGTTAAGAGGAGTTTTTGCCTACTTCATTAAATAATTTTTATGCATGCGGTTAAATCATGCTTAAAAATTCTTCAGCAGCTGGGTCTTTCACATTCTTGTGTATACATAAACATCTACCAAATATTTTCATGCTGAAAGTGGGCCTGATAGAAATAAGTTTAACACCTAATTATTCATGATCTGACAAGTCAGATGGCATTAATTTCTGGATGGGTCATTGTTTGGTGTACAAAATTTAGACACTTGTACTACATCAACCTGGTCTCTTAATGCATAGAAGAAAGCAAGTTCCATGTTTGCCGCACAGGAACATTGTTTTCCTAGATCTGAATTCTTCACTAATCCCCCATGTCACTGGACCATGTTTGCCACCTATTTCATCGGACTATGAGACAGTTCACTTTCTCAGACATGTATTACATGTATATATTGTTGTGGACATGCATAAAATAATGGTCTTGAAAATGACTGCCCTAACTTCATTCAAGAATCCATCTCCCACCACCCAAACGAAATGAGAAAGAGGAGAAAAAATGCAATGATTCCTTAAGGTGGGATAGCATAAGCAAGGAATGAGGGTGTATAGTTTTCAGGGTTTTAGCTTGGTTTTGAAGCCTTTCCATGTAATGAATGTAGCCATGCAAGATGGTTAAAATCACTCTATGAGATATATTCAGCTATTAATTATGGCTAAAAAAATTACAGAGCAATAATACAACTCAATGCTAAAGTGCCCAAATTGAGGAGTCCAAGTTTCGATGCTAAAAACATGAGAGGAAAAAAAAAAAAAGTAGAACATTATCTAATTTTGTATAGAGCTGTTTGACTTTGCTCAGGTCTTAAATGGTTGACGGGGTTATGATTTTCAGATGTGGACACATGTGCTGTTGTACAGCGTGCTCTTTACACTTAATAAACTGTCCACTTTGTCGGCGACGGGTTGAGCAGGTGGTGAGGACTTTCCGGCATTGAAGCTGCACACTTAAGAGTGTAAGTGCCAGAACTTCTCTTTCTTCATGGCTATGGAACTTCATTATGTCCTGTTTCTTTCTGGCCAATATAATATACTACAGTTGGTGCCTATTGAAGTTCTAAAATTTTTCAAGAAACATTGCCAATACAGTTGATTTGGATCAGTTCTTCATAAGCCTTTTCATATAATCTTCTAAAACTGTAAATGACTCATGAACAGCCATCTTTGTAAGTTGATAATGGCTCCGTTTGGTAGAGCTGTGGGAAAGTGATTATAACTTATAGCCTAACAGCTTATAGCTTATAACTGTGAGCATAAACTGATTTTTGACTTATAAATTAAGCTTCTCCTCCCCCACTCAAAGAATAAGTTGATTTTTGACTTACAAAAAGCTATAAGTTGTATTGTTAAGCTGAACCAAACATATCAAAATAGCTTAAATTAAGCTAAAAGCTGAAATAAGCTGAAAATAAGCGCTACCAAACATGGCCAATATTTGGAACAAATATGTAATAGAATTTGTTACTCTTTTAATTTGGTGTGTGTTCACTAGCGTGTCAAATTATATATAAAGTAGGCTTGCCTGAGTCCACTACATCTCCTAATGTCTAAAAGGTGTAAGAAAGAAAGGTTAAAGCAGGATTTGTAAAGGAACTTCCATCTTCTACAGTCAATACTGTTAGGGTAAAAAATTGATTGACAGACTTTGGACGAGATTAGAAAGTAGTGGGTTAAGTTATTTTGTTCCTTGCTAAGTATGAAAGGAGGAGTGAAGCTGGGGGTTGAAGCGTTCAATATGAGAGGAGGTTTAAGGGTTCAGAGCATTAAGGTGACGGAAACCATGTAGCATGCATCAGTCTTCAGAGTGCGTTTGACACTTGGAGGTTTGAAAATTAAAATCTTTTGTGATTTGAAGAACTGAACGTTGAAAATCAATTTAGTATAATTCATGCAATTATACTAAAACTTCTAGTGAGCGAACTGAAAATCTAGCACGATTGAACTGAATCTAACACCCCCTAAGTGTACTTCTTGACTTTTTATGATATATGAGTTGGGTATGAAGTGATGTGATAGAGAGATGATGTGACTTAAATAAGATGATGTGACTTAAATAGGATAGTGACTTTTTAACTTTTTGGCTTTTTTTTATTATGCCAAACCAAGCCTCAATCAGATTCAGTCAGACCCAACATATTTTTAACTTTTCTTCTTATTTTTTCTTTTTAAAAAATCATAATATATTTTCTAAAGATATTTAAGATTAAAGTTACACTATGAATTATCTATTGCTATTTTACTAAATTGAATATTACATGTGTGAGGTTAGTTATACCTTTTAAAATGTTTTAGGCTTTAAAATTTCTTTCTTATTATTGGCTCACTGTTACTTAGAAAAGTATGTATGCTTATTGTCCAAATATCAATATCGTTCTTAATTATTGTTACTTTAGAAATTGATAGTTTGTATATTTGGTTGTTATCTTTATTAAAAATGGTTGATAAGAGATATCCAAAAAAGAAAAAAAGGTAAGATAGTGATTTTAGATAGGAATCTTTGTTAACCTTTTTTTTTTTTTTTTTTGATAAGCAAATATTATTAAGAAAGCATCAATGATGCAACCAATACAAGAAAACCACCCTAGGAAGGGGAACCAATAAAACAAGGGCTAACCAATCATCTCATCTAAAAAATCTAAAAACACAAATAAATCCGGATCTACCTTACTCTCCAGCCAACTATACAAAACTAGAATAAGACGACTTTGTAACCAAGAAACACTATGAGAAACCTCTAAGAAGGTACGTCTATTCCGCTCTCACCAAAGCAACCACATCAAACAGAACGAAGCTAATAACCAAGCTCGTCGCTACCGCCGACCAAGATGAACGCCTCGCCAAGCCCAAAGAAAATCTAACACCTCCTACGGTTGAACCCAAGTAAGTCCAAAAAGTGAACAAAAGAAGCTCCACAAACATGAAGCCACCGAGCAATGATGAAACAAATGATTCACTGTCTCCGCATCCTCACAACACATACAACACCAATTTACCAGGATGTGCCCCTGTCGTATCAAATTATCCAAAGTAAGATTCCGACCTAAAGCTACCATTCACATGAAAAAGGCAACCTTAGTCGGAACTCCCATAACCCAAACACTTGTCCAAGGATAGACCCAACTAGCATCCCCCATCAAACCTCCAATAAAATGATGCTACTGTAAATCGCCCCTTTGCCCCCAACCCAGTCCACACCAATACATCTGGGCCCACCCCGACAGTCCCCAAACCATATAAAAAGCCCCACAACTCCACCAACTGATCGACTTCCCAATCATGAACCTCCCGTCGTAATTGAATATCCCAGACCACCATACCCCCACCATCTAAATAGGAAGCCACCAATGCATCTTGATCTATCGCAATATTAAAAATCAAAGGGAAACAGGTCTCCGACACAAACTCCCCACACCACTTGTCTTTCCAAAACCGCATCCTACTCCCCTCCCCCACCTTAAACCTTATCCACTTCCAAAACTCTCCCTTCCCAACCAAATCCCTTTCCATAACCCACACCCATAAGTACAGGTCACAGACCCAGAAACCCAACCCCCTCTGCCCAGCCCATATTTAGACACCACCACCTGCCACCACAATTTGTGAGGCTCCAAAGCAAAACGCCAGAGCCATTTCCCTAACAAGGCTCGGTTAAAAGTCACCAACCGCTGCACCCCCAGCCCTCCAGCGTGCTTGGGTTAACAAACCTGTCCCTAATCAACCAAATGATACTTAAAAATCATCACCACCACTTCCCCACAAGAAGTCCCTCTGAAGCTTCTCCAACCGATGCGCCACTGACACTGGAATAACATGGACCGACATGAAATAAGTGGGATACTACTCAACACACTCTTAAGCGAAGTCAACCGACCGCCTTTCGAAAAATATTGGCACTTTCAACCTGTCAATCGACGTTAGACCCGTTCCACAACTCCATCCCACACCCCCTTTGCCTTAAAAGAAGCCCCTAACGGCAAACCCAAATAGGACATTGGAAAAACCGAGACCTTACACCCCAACACTGCTGCCATGACAGGTAACCTAGCAACCGCCCCAATTGGAATAAGCTCCGACTTCTGCAAATTAACACGAAGGCCCGAAACCACCTCAAAACAAAGCAAAACACATCTTGCAGATAACCAACCTGCGCTGTTTCCACACCACAGAAGATCAAAGCATCATCCGTATATAACAAATGCGAAACCCCCAAAGGAGCCCTTGCCAATCAACCCACAACATAACCTTCCAATAGACTTTCGCGCACAGCTCTATCCAACAGTCTACTCAACGCCTTCATCACTAAGAGAAATAGCAGGGGGACAAAGGATCCCCCTTGCCGAAGCCCTCGATGTGTCTAAAAAAAACTCGCCGGAGTCCCATTAATCAACACCGACATCCGCACAGTCGAGATACAGAACTTGATCCATTGGTACCAAGTCTCCCCAAAGCACATACGACCCATTACATACAAGAGGAACTCCCAGTTAACATTATCATACGCCTTCTCAATATCCAATTTGCAAATCAAACCAGGGCACCCCTGACGAATCCGAGAATCTACACATTCATTAGTAACCAATACTGCATCTAAGATCTGCCTCCTCCCAACAAACGCATTCTGAGACTCTGACACCACAGTCGATAAAACTCCTTGCAAACGATTTGCCAACACTTTAGCCAATAACTTATACATACTCTCCAGCAAACTAATAGGCCTAAAATCCCGAATATCGTCAACCCCTCCTTTCTTAGGAATCAAAGCCAAAAAAGTTGCATTGAAATTCTTCTCAAATTGCCCAGACACTAGGAAATCCTCCATAGTTGCCATGACCTCACCCTTAACCACGCTCCAACAATGCTGGAAGAAAGCCATAGTGAAACCATCTGTAAAAACTCGCTCCAACCTCTCCCGATCCTCTCCCAGAATCGTATCAAACTGAACACCTTCTAGGCTCGGCCGCCATACCCCCTCTTGTGGCCTGAATAAATTCTAGTAGAAGCCCACTACCCCTTCCCTAATATCTCGATCTGTGTGCAGCTCTTGACCATCCACCCACAACCTACTAATTTGATTAACCCTTCGATGAGCATTGGCCATACGGTGAAAGAATTTTGTATTTCGATCCCCATCCTTTAACCATAAACATCTAGACTTTTGACGAAAATAAACCTCTTCCATACGGGATATACAAACAAAATCCTATTTAACCGCCTCCTTACGAATACTGGCCTCAGTGGGCAGCCCATCTTGCACCTCTAGCTCATCCAAGGATTGAAGTAAAGACACCACCGCAGCTTTTTGGCCCTCTAGCCAACCAAGCACCTCCTTATTCTAAGTCTTTAAGGCCGCTTTCAACATCTTCAATTTTTGAGCCAACACACAACTAGGAGAACCATGAACTACGTAGCAATTCTACCATCCATGAACCAACTCTAGAAAACCCTCTTGTTGCAACCACATATTCTCAAAACGAAATGGCGTAGGACTACATCGGATTCCCCCACTATCCAGCAAAATGGGCCAATGATCAAACACAGGTCGAGGTAAACGAATCTAAACCACCTCAGAAAAGTGCTCCTCCCAGTCCACAGTAACCAAGAACCGATCAATTCGAGACAAACTCCGACCATTTGACCATGTGAACCTGCCCTCCTGGATAGGTAAATCAACCAACTGTAAATCATCAATGAAAGAACAGAAAGCCCGCATTGCCTCCGAGCTCCTCGCATTCCCTGCCTTCTCCGATGGCCAATGAACAACATTAAAATCACCCCCTACACACCAGGGGACATCCCATATGTTCTCCATCTCCTCCAACAACAGACCCCGCTTTAAATTTTGCACAGGCCCATAAACCCCAGTAAAACCCCGCTGGAAATTATCCACCACACAACGGAACAAACATGATATAGAAAATCCTCCTACCTCCTCCTCCTCCTCCTCCCTCACCACTAC